AATTCGGCTTTATTCATGATTTCCTTTTCTCCCCCTCAAATGTCAGAGCTCAGCTTACTTTAATGATCTTAATTTTGAAGGTTAGGCTTACTTTACTCCGACAGCAATTGGTAGCGGTTGATTCCTTGTCGCCAAATCAAACGGAGGGTTATTGCCGATAAAAATGAGAAAAAGAATAAGAAAAGGAGAAGAAGAAGAAGAAGGTGGAAGAGAAAGAGGAGAAGAAGAATTTATTGCAAGTCTCTTATCGTCGGTCTGAACGTCGATTGTTGTAGTGGCTGGTGGTCTAGTTACAATATGTGGAGACTTGAGAGACAGTGGGAGGGGAATTCGAATGAGAGAGGGAAGTATTATTGGGTTTTATTGTATTTTGTCTTTTAGTGGCTGGTTCAACCATTTAGACCATTATTAACCGAGCAGCCCTATTAAACTCCTGTAACTTATTAAGACGACGTGTTCAATTTTCATTGGCAGGTGCACACCTCCTGTGAACCGAAGGGGTCCATAGGATTCGCGCTCGAATATTTTCATGAAGCTAGGCGTTAATAAAAAAAAACCCAATTCATTAATTTATAAACCCAAACTTAAATTTAAAATTAACATCAGCAACACGAATTTAGACAGAAAACATAGAAACCAACATTTGATTTCTAGATTTGCTCAAATGTGGCATCATAATGTGGCATATCTGGAAAGCCCGCTGTAAGGTTAAGTTCGATGAAAAAGCATTTGATACATTCTCGGTTACATTGGCTGCAAATGCTTAATTAGATTGATGAATTAATTGCTTTCATTCATCAATTCAGAACAATTTTCTATCAATACAGATCATCCTCCTACTCTTTCTAGTGGAATGTCTTGGATTAGGCCTCCTTTTCACGTTAAAATCAATTTTGATGGTGCCTTAAATAATTCTCATGGAGGTCTCGGTATGGTTATTATTTTGACTTTTTGGGGGACTTCTATGTTGGAAGGGCTGTTAAATTTCCTATTTGCTCTCCTGTAGAAGTGGAAGCCCAAGCTGCTTTTCGACTTGCTTTTCAAGTTGGTGCTCATTCTAACATTTTAGAGGGAGACTCTCAAGGCTGCCCATATGGTAGCCAAACATGCTCTTATTACTATTTCCCATGTTCCTACCTTATCTAGAGTTCCCTCCAACTTTTTTATTTGATATTCTTTCATCTGATTGTATTTCTGAGCATGGTTTTCAAAATTGAGCCGGAACAGATGGTTGGACCGGAAAAACTTGGAATCGATTAGGTGGTTGGTTTTGATTTTCTCTAAAACCGGATTTTTCATAAAAATCGTTGATTTTAGTCAGCAAACCGTTAATCCTGACAATTAACCGTTCGAACAGTTTTCATTTTTTTTTTAATTTCTTTAATTTTTTATCAGAACGAGCCGACCATTCGATTCAAACGGCTGGACTGCTCAACCCGATAACCAGACCCCTGACCGGTTCAGTCTCTGAGTCGGTTTTAAAAACCATGTCATGAGCATTAAGAAATGAATCTGGCCTTAATTTAGTGCTCTCTATGCTTTAAGGCCTTTGTTCAAAAAAAAAAAAATCAACAAGATTGTATAAATGGCATTAATTAACTCACCACCACCTATAAAAAATAACATTAATTAATTCACGTTAGCGGAGTCAAAACTTAATAAAAATCAAAGATCCTAGAAGAATTATATAGGTATATAATTTTTGCTTTGATAAGATCAGCCATTAACTATTGTCTAATTATTAAGTGCAGTTGATGCATGCATGCACCAGTTCGAATTTTAAAAGCGAAAAAAAGTGTGCAACAATTCATGATCAAAATCATAAGCAGGAACATCCCAAACTCCCTTGAAACCTTCCCAATCTACTCAAGCTTATTCGATATAGAGAGTATTGGGTTGTTTAGAAATATTGCACGTAACTTGTTTTGGAGACCAAAAGGAATTTCGTTATTAATTATTTATCCTTGTATGGTTCTTCTCATTCTCTCGTAAATCTGCATATAGATAAAACAGGGGATTTCTATTTCTCTTATATCCCACAAGGGTAAATTTTTTAAATATAGGAGGTTCTAGTAAATACTCAAAAAAGTAGTTAATTGAAACTAAGTTAAAAATTTTCATTCATGTCAAACAAGAATGGAAGAAAAAATACAGACAAGAAAGATGAAAACAACATAACAAATTAACTAACCTTCAAGAATTTACCAAGTTTTGGAAATTTTAAAGGGCGTCTTTATACTAACTTTCCATCCAATCACTTGCTTTATGTACTCAGAAAAATCTTGACTATTTCTACATTAGAAGGGTTAGGATCCATCATAGGCTAAACCATGCTAGATGATTGGGCGAAATTTCAAAAATTTCCTAATCCTTATAAAAATTGAATTCTCTATGTTTTGAAAAATTGCATTTTTAGGATTGGTCTTGCACCAAACTAGATCAGATTTGAAACCAAACAATATACCTGATACGAATACCACAAACGTAGATTCCAAGGTAGAAGTTTACGCTCAAATCAGTCATAAAACCAGCATCTACTGAAAATGGAGCAATGTATAGGTGAAACTGATTTAACAATATAGTTTTCAGCAAAACTACAACCCAACTGCTTGGATCGAACTAGGGAAGGTTAGCCTAAAATTCATCTGAATTCTTCTTGTAAAAAACAAAAGAAAACTGATCTCTCTTAGTCCTTTAAAGCTTAGGTCGTGATAGGGTTTCTTGAAAAATAAAATAGAAGAGAGAACAAGAGAGAGTGGTCTTCTAGTATGGCTCACCCTTTTCTTCTTTTATCTCTTTATGGAGCACTCTCCTAATCAAATTAGGAGATTATCCAAATCTAATTTGGATTTGGACTCTATTAAGAGATAAGCCCTATCGTCTTAAGAGAGTGTAAGCTCTATCATTTACTTTGTTAAACAAATGAGACGATCCTATCACTATGATCATCTACTTAGATAAACTCTCAAATTGCCCCAACATACCCAGGTTTTGACATTTGATGGATCTCACTGATTGGTGTATCAAAGACAGTCCAATCCAACACCTAGTGCATTGCCATAATCAAGTCAAAGGGTTATGTATAACTTTCTAATTTTTCCATCAATCTCCAAAGTCTGAGACATAACTGGAAAATGGTATGGGTTCTGTGTTTCATCCAAACACATATTTACATGTGTTTTGGATCTAATCTTAGCAGTTGAGACAAATTGCACCAACTTTTTTGGTAACAGATTAGTGTCAGTCTTGACAAGATAAATTCTCCAAGTATATCCAATGGTTAAGAACATTTTAAACTAACGCGAATCTCATAAGTGTCCTGTTTAGGGGGTAATTACACAAAAACATACCAATATCAACATGAAACAATAATATACTTTTATTCATTTATAATAAATATATCTATACATCAAGCTTATTGGAACTAAAGGCATACACTGTCTAACATTTTGGAGAAAACAACTTAGATGTGTATATGAATTTTTTTTTGCATAAAACATTACCATGGTCCATGGATGTATTACTGACTCTACTTTGACATCACTTCATCATCTAATTCAAGGTGGGGCCATGAAAAGCCATGATTTAACGACGTTGTAGCAAAAGTGGATTGAATTCTTGCCAAGAAGACAAACAAGCTTAGGGAGTGAATGGGGTGGGTAGGGGTGACAATTTTTAACCCAACCCGCTGAACCCACCCAACCTGCCCATTTACTTGGTGAGTTGTGTGATCAACCCATCATCCAACCCACCCATTTAAATGGGTTGGGTTGTGGATAACCATTGGGTTAACCATTATAGAGATAAGTATTAATTCCTTAGCTTTTTTTGTATTTTCTTCATTTAAATCAAATAATTTATAATTAATGCATTAATTTTCTATTAATAATTGACTAAATTTAATTTTGTCTTGAATCAATACACTTCACCCAACATAAATCCAAATCAATTTAACCCGAGTTCGAACCAGTTCAACTTAGTTTGACCTGATCCAGCATATACTAATCTGGGTTGACCCGAATCCGAAATAGACCCCGGACGGGATGGTTTGCTGCCGCTTGCTCTGTCCGATTTGGGTCGTCTGGTCCAACTAATATTCACACACCCCGACTGGCTCGGTACAAGTCGATCCAAGTCGACCTGAATCTGAAACGTTTTTGGGCAGGATGATTTGGCCTCCGCATGCTTTGCCCCGATCTGGACTGTCCACCCAACCAATATCCATATGACCTGACCTGATCCAAATCCGAACCGACCCAATTTAGCTACATTGACCTAGTTCGGGTCAGCCAGTCCGATCCTGGCCCCGTGCACAAACCTGATATGGTCCGGTGCAAGTCAATCCACCATTGACTGAACTGGTTTGGTCTGACCCAGTCAGATTGATCTAGATCTAAACGGTTCAACCACCCTTGAACCTAAGTGGTTTAAGTTGGTCTGACCGGTTTGAAACTAAGTGGTTCGATCAAACTCGAAATCCAAACATATTCAAATGGCTTTGCCGCTTGTATAAAAATGACATGCATGTAATGTGATTTGAACTTTCACCACTTATGTAAATAATAACTACATAATCACCAACTTACAACCAACTTATTTGTTAAGAGAGAGAGAGTTTGTTTTTTAAGTCTATAAATATAAAATTAATAGGTTTGGGCAGGTTGGATTGGGTTAAAACAGGTTTGGGTTGAACCCAACCCATTTAATTTTATATAACTGGGTCATTAATGGATTGGATCGAAACTCAACCCAAACCAAACCCAATCCAACCCGCCGAATTGCCACCTCTACGGGTGGGATGCCATTCAGGAAATTAATTAAGCAGCAAGGCTATTTTTTTCCCAAACAACAAAACTTGTTTTAGTGTTTTTTTATTACGAGATTGTAATTATATATGATAAAAGCCCTTGTGTTAGTTGGGGCATTCAATTAGTCCAATGTTCAGGTTGTCTTTTTCCTTTTTCCTAACATGCATGTGTGAGCACTGTTACATTACAGACTTCTGTCAAAGGCAACCCAAAAATTCCATTATCCATAATCCTTTGTCATCGGGCTTACATTCTTTCTTACTCCTTATGTTCCTTAATCTTGTACAAATTTAAAGAGAGCGAGTTACATTTGAAGAAAGTAATTACAAAAACAGGAAAAGGCAAAAACAAGCTAGCAAAAGCATTTGAAGAATTGAACTGAAGACCCAAATGAAAAAGAAAAAAATTAAAAGAGTTTATGCATGGCAGGACACATCTTTCTCTTCCAGTTCAATCCCCTCCTGAGCTAACCTAGTGTCCTTGTACACATACCACCTAGCACAAACCAAATACAAGCCAAAGTTGAGCAGACTCAGACCAGCCAAGAGCCAGTAGAAGTTATAAAGCTTGCCCTGGTTCAGATTATCCGATAGCCATGGCCTGCCGTTCCCTGTCAATTTGTGCACTAGAGAAACCAAGAAAGAACTAAAAAACAAGCCAAGTGAAATGGTGCTCAAAAATAACCCAGTGCTAATGGTTTTCATCCCTTTAGGGCACTCTCTAAGGAAGAAATCGAGCTGCCCAATATAGGTGAATGCCTCACCGCAACCCACCAGGAAGAACTGAGGGATCAAACAAAACACACTCAGAGGGATCTCCGCTGTTGGGTTATCCGTCAACCCGTTGGATCTTGCAGCTCTCAACCGTTTGAGTTCGGTGAGTGCGGCAGCCACCATGGCCAATGCGGACATGACAAGACCAATACCTATACGTTGCAAGGGGGTGAGGCCTCGTGGGTTGTTAAACAATCTACGAGTAACCGGAACGATGACCCGATCATAGACGATAACAGTAAGGAGAATGCTGCCAACAAAGAAGACGGTCAATGATGCAGCAGGAATCAGAAACGACCTGCCAAGGTGTCGATTCAAGGTGGTTGCCTGGGAAACAGAGAACGTGGTCATTTGAGCATAAACCGTCCAGAACATGATGGTTGTAGCCCAAATGGGCATCATCCTGATCACTATCTTCACTTCTTCGACGTCGGTTAGTGTTGATAAGCTCCACCGGTTCTCGACGGTGTTCCAGCTCCCACTCTGCGTCTGGCCATTGGGGTCCTTGATTGCCGCCTTGTCTAGAAAACTGAAGACATACATAAAGAAATCAATAAGAGATCAGTGTCCACATGAATTAAAATTTAAAGCCAGCAGTGGGCTTTCATGGACATACATGAACTAAGGCCAAACTGCGGAAGGATGGGAGAAATGGGCTTTCATTAATGCGTGCGTGAAGGTGAAGACTGGGGTCTGAATTAAAACTGTAAAAGTAGAAGACAGGACAAAGGGCGTGGATGATTGGGACAGAGTGGCTCTGGGGTCGGTGGGTAATGTTGATACTTTAAAGCAGCTTAACCCTAACCCTAACCCGTGAGTTTTTATTCCTTGATCTGCGTGTAGAAGACAGCCCTGGCTTGTCTTGTCATTTCAATTGTCTTTGTTCGTTCAACAAAGACCATGGCAACATAAAAAACGAGGAGACAAGATATTGAAATATTCTTTCCCCCTATTATTATTGTTCTAAATCAATAATCTAATCCATTTTCAAATTAACACAAATAACAGGGTTTATTAAAACCGAAGCTACTTTTGCTACGAGTACGACGTGGTTGATTTTAGATCGAAATCTTTTTTTGAAAGAAATCCGTAGGTGTTCGATGAAGAGTTAATTTCAACAATATTATATAAAAAATTTAGAATAGTAGATAAAGTAAAAAAATTAGATAGAAATAAATCCCCCCTGACAAATAAAAAGATTTGATCTCGCAACATTTGTCGTCCGTGGCATATACCGTTCATGGAGAAAGAATGAAGATTAGATAAAAGGTTATAGCGAATACTGTGCCGATGGATGGAAATCATCCAAAAAGAACTTAAAAATATTATAAAAAACATACGATAAACTATTAGCCGGATTAAAAGTCTGAATTAATATTGTGGCCCCACCTTAAATTAAATGAAGTAATGTGGTGGTACTGGAGGGGCCATAGCAGCTAAAACCATGTCGCAGCAAAAGTGACAACTCAACTCTTTTCATTGTATCCAATGTACCGTTCCGAAAATAAAGTGTCCTCTGCAGACATGACATCATCCGTGCATTATTATGGAGATGAGTCAGTTGGAAAACAATCGTCGATTATCCGGATCACCTTTTTTTTCTTTTCGAGCTCGGATGGGTGGAGTGGAATCTTTAGACTATGTTTGGTTTCAAGGAAAATGTAGAAAAAGAAAAAGAAAAGTAAGAAACCTATACAAAAATCGTATTGATTTTCTTATTTTCCTTTTCCTTTTCCTTACCTTTTTACAGAAAAATGGTCAATTGTGTACACGTGCATTGTTTTGGACCACTAACCAAGTGTCATGTTTAAAATCTTAATCTTAGTTACTTACGCGTTCTGATCAATAGGATTTTGGTTCCTGACTAAGAATCTATAATCTTTTTTTTCGATTTATTCAGGGATATAAGGGAATGTTTATTTTTTTTATCACTTATCATATCTTAGTTAAATAAATAACTTTCCCGCCTTAAAATAAAATTAGTAATACTTCAATGAAATAAAAATATCTTTTATTAAAATAATCATTATTTTATTTAAATAAAAAATAAAAGAACATGATTAATCTGCACATATTTCCTAGGAAGTTCAAAATTTTATCACCTAATTAATAAAAGGACGGGATATTAATAGGCACAACAAAGTAAACACTTGATAAATATTTTGACAGCTGTAGCTGTCAAAATTAGGTATTTATCTTTTTCAGGGTAGGCTGGGGGTATTGTAAGTGCTCATTTAACGTTGTGCCTACCTAAGGGAAAACAGGTTTCAGTGAAGAACACTAACCGGAACTGTTTGCTATGAGGGAGCCTTTGCTTCTTCCTCTTCTGCCCATCGTTCACACTGTTGCCAACGTCATACAAGAGCGACGGATCAGACGGCAACTCCATCTTTCTCTTCCTCCAGGCGGCGACGAAAACGGTCGCTACCTGCGTCAATGGGCTACTTGCCAGCTTCTTGAACCGGTACCTTCTCGTGCCGGACAGAAAGACGAGGAGGCCGAGCAGGATGGCCGAGACGCAGATGCCGTATCCCCAATGTCTCCCTAGGTTGTCCTGTATGTACACGAGGATGGTCACCGCTGCCAGAGATCCGATGCTTATGAAGAAGAAGAACCAATTGAAGAAGTTTGTCATCTGGGCTCTTTCCTTTGGGTCCGATTCGTCGAACTGGTCTGACCCAAGCCCCGATACGCTCGATTTCAGGCCACCGGTGCCCAGCGCCGTGAGGTACAGCCCCAGATATAGTACCGTCAATTGTAGCCCGCTTGCCTGCACGCAGACTTCCCCGGCTGTGCACTTGGGAGGTCGGAGGCTTGGGACGATAGTGGAGATTGTCAAGATTGTCACACCCTAACCACAGTTTCAGAAGACATAAGAAGGGAGAGGAGAGTGTGTATGTGTATGTGTGTGTATTAGCAGAAACCAGTACTGAAATGCTTAACTTTTGCCTTAAGGTAGCCAAGACCAGAACCGGAGCCTGGGCAGGATGTGGACTGATTCGTGTCCACCCGGCCATTGAGTCTGGCAAACTCAAGACTTTTATAGTGAAGTAATAGTAAAAGGAGCAAAAAGTCTTACCGTGGCTTGAACAGTAGCAAAAATGGCTACGGTGAGGTACCTGGCAAGGGAATTTGTACATCATAAAACTTGAAGCAAATGAAAATCTATTGGGATGATCAGAAGAACATAATAAGCAGAAGGACTAGGGATGTATGTAACGGAAGAAAAAGGTACAATACCAACCTGCCGAGAAATGTATCAGCGATGAAGCCGCCGAGCAAGCAAAGCATGAAAGAGGTGCCGAGGAAGTTGGTGACGTTGTTGGCGGAGGTGGCATTGCCCAAATGCATGGTACCCGTCAAGTAAGTCACCAAATTCACGGCGATCCCCAACGTGGTTAACCTCTCACACAACTCCACCCCTGCGAGGAGGAGGAGAAGTCCATATACAAGCCGATGTTACCAAACAACGAAACAGAAAGAAAGAGTACGTAGTGATGATGATGAAATTAACAATAAGAAACATCGATCTCTCAATAAAAATCTACAAAAGAGGTAGAGGGGGAAGACTGGAAGGAAAAGAAAAGTAATCAAGACCTAGAATCATGGCTGCACTTGTCCATCCGCCCGTTGTGAATCTCTCGGCGGATCGGCCCTTGTAGTCCCAAGCGTCCGAGAGGGTCTTCCCCTCGGTTTCAGGGAGACTCATTTCCTCTAGTATCAACAACTCTCGAACAACTCTGGTTATTGAGTTGGGGGAGGGTAGTTTGATACAGGGAGGGAGAATCCAATCTCTAACAGACACATGAATAAACGAAACCAGGGAGAGGGTGTCTTTATAGCTGCTAAGAATCACAGACGGATTTCTTTTTCCAATATTACCCCCACTGATTTGACCAAATTCGCTCAATTTATCCCACAGAAAATGAGAAACGAAAGCATTTATGAATTTGTCTTTTGTCATATCAATTATAGATTGCCGAATCGCAACTGATAAGAAGAAGAAAGAATTACGGAGAATGTGTTGACCGGTGAGGCCTAACGCAATTGAATTCGCATGGGGGAGTTTATACCAGTGGTGGAGTCAGGAATTTTGTTGGGGGATGGAGGAAGTTAAACAAGAAAAATGTCTAAAAAAAGGTTTGGCTCTATTATAGAAGAATTAGGGTTTGGGGAAAATGGATTGAAAAGGTTTGCCTATATTATATAATAAAGAAAAATAAACATTTCTTTTTTTATTATTTTGGGAGTTTGTGGAGCATTAGAGAGTTATCCGTTGTATATTTTCAAGTTTTTGGTGGTGTGGGGGGCAAAGACCTAACCATATATAAATAAAAGCTTTACTACCGACTTCCCCCACCATTATAATTGGCTACGCCCCCCATATCTATGATAGCTCTATCAAGGATTAATCCACATCATACCATAGTTTATTACTGTTTTAACTATAAGCATTATAGTCCATACCTACAATGGCATTTTATAGACCTGTTGTGGACCAATTCGCACCATATTTTTTGATTTCATGTATTTAAAAATATTATTTTAAATGTTTTTTAATATTAAAAATATTATTTTATTGATAAAACATTAATAAATAATATTTAAATAGATGAAAAAAGAGTGGAGAAGAAACACTATTAGGATTGTGCTAGAATTAACATTAAAAAATATTAATTTATTGATAAAATATGAAAAATTAAAATAATTTTTTTTAATTTAAAAATTAGAAAAAATGAAAATATGTAGAAAAATGTATTGTATCAAAATAGAGTGTAAAAATGTTGTGGACTAGCCACATCCACAAAATATATGTATGGCTAAGATTTTGGACTTTAAACGGGGACAGTCCATCCCGTTCATAGTCAACCAAATATCGTGGCCATCTCGTGGCATGGATCGAAGTGGACTATTCATGAGATGATCACAGTTCTGAACACCACCTAAATTATTGTGTGTAATGTTTACATATGGATTGATGTGGTTAGATACGAACATATTCAATCCTCCAACTATTGAGTCCAAATTTTGTGTGTTTGGAACCGTGGTCATTTTTTCATTCAGCGTTTGTACTTTACTTGCTTGCAAAACCAAGAAAGGTAATAATTACAACCATTTATGAGAAGTAGGTGTCATTAGGCACCACATCAGTAGAACAGTGAAAAGATGTCTAACTATTGGTGTTGGGGGAAGTTTTAAAAAATAACTTCACCAACTAGTGGTGTTTATTGAACAACGCCTAAGTGGCAGTGTTTATTGAACAAACGCCCACGGTTCCAAACATATATGTATGGAGAAAATGTTAGATTCTCATGATCATGTTTTTGCATATACCAGTAGCTTTCCACCAACTCCAAGCAAGTACCAACCCCTTGAACAAACGGGACGGGGGACGTTGCAATGTGGCATTGCTTACAAAAATTAACGGGTTGCTAGTACTAGTCTTGATCAAAGGAGTCCCTGATTAGATAGAAATTAGCGAAGCTTCATTAATTAATGCAGTCAGGGACCTAGTACTAATGGGAACTGGTGTCAATTGTTAATTGTGAATATACGGGTTCCTTGCTCTACATTTTATTGGACTCACTAGGTGTTTGGTATAAGTTTGTATTTAATTTATCGTTAAAACTGAGAAAAAATAGTTGGTAAATGTTTTTTTTTGAATTTATTAACAATTAGACGCCATCAGGTACCAGCAAAACATTAAATAAATGCTTTTTCATTGAAGAAAGCATTAAAAATGCTTTCCCTCATAATTGATTTATACATAAATCAAGATAAGAAGTTATAACACCGGCTTAATTATGGAAAGGAAAATGGCGTTACTGTTAGTCTGTCAATTATATTGTCATCATCATTAACACTCGGGTTTCGAGTTGACTTGTGATTTAGAAGAATACGTAATGCCACTGATTTTCTGGGTCCTCTTAAGTCTTATCGGGTGATGATCCACCGAGACGGAGATACATCAACCTGCATCATGAGGTTAGTTATGGGTCTGCCGCCGCTGGGTTCAGCCCGGTCGAATCGGAAGACCGGGTTGAAAAAGGAAAAACCCAACAACAGTCTCGTTCTATGCATAAAAAACCTAGGTCAAGGGACGGACGTGAAGGCCCAAACCAAAAAGGAAGTGGGCCGTCTCCTGGGCAACTACGACGTCTTCTTGAGACTTGAACCACTGCCTAAAGGTCCAGAACCGAGATGGCCTCGGGGCTTCTTTTCAGCCACTGTTTTTGTGCCCACACACTTGCCTTGTGGGCTGAGGTGGTGGTCGGCTTGGCTGTCTTTCTCTCGCATAGACCACAAAATCAAATAATGCATAGAGACTACGACAATCGAATCACGCTTAATCATCCATAGATGACAAGATCATATGGCTCCACTCCATACATATTTATCCTATATTAGATGGCGAAACTACCCTTCTTTTTGTTTTTTATCCTCTAACCCTCCATCACTGCACTTTATTCTCGTCCAAGTGTGGAAATGGTCCATTAATCACCTCCCTCCCACTCCCAGCCTCCCATGAGCATGACCAAATAATGAAAGCTAATAATTTATCGAATAAAGGTGTCAAATAAAAAATAGCACATACACAAAAATTCTCAGCCGTCGGATTTGATCGAATAAAGTTGGGTGGATGTATCATATGAAGTATTATAGAAGTGAAATGAGATCAATGGTCCATGAGATCTCCCCTTTTCACCCAATATTGACGAACCCGTATAAAAGGGGGAAAAAATAGAGTTGGAATAGTGCCACGTGGCATCTACGAAGCAGTGGACCATTATAATTGACTTGTGATGATTGGCGTGTGAGTAACAAAAGTTTCAGCGGCCTTTTGAATTTGTTACGCTTCTTAAATCTTAACAAATTAGAAGGTGTAACGTGTTTATCTCTCGCACTACAAAAGACGTGGGAACGGTGAACCGAAGAGACAGCCCAAGTGGTCAGCAAGACGATGACATGGGAGTTGGGACTTGGGACGGCCTTTTTATAAACTTCCTTTCGTAATGTACTTCATCCAAGAATATTACAAATCTAATTGTTTTTCTAATTCGGTTTGGTGGTTCAATATTGGCTCTGCCAGTTCGATTGTTCAGCGAGCTTTGCCATAAACAGCCAAGCAATATTCCAAGTGGCAATTTCGGGTTCCAATTGTTTGTTTCTCTTTGTCTTTGTCTTGCATATTAAAATTTAGCGTTGTCCGAATTACTCGAATTCGAAATAGAATTCTATTCTATTAAGCTTGATCCAAATTCGATCCATTTACAATTGGGTCAAATATGGATTTTTTTTTTCAATCCGGTTTAATATAACTCGTTTCAATCCGATTTGATTTAGATTATATTATATTTATCATTAAATTTGTAGGTTTAAGTTTTACATAATTATTTTTTAATTCATTTTGTTCATAAAATATAATGTTAAAGTCATTTTTATTTTAATTTACTAGCGGGGATCCGTGCGGTGAACAAGATTTATTTAGCGAAAGCTAAATAATAAAAATGGTCATTTACTAAAATACCCCTTATATTTTCATGAATTTACTGAAATCTACCCTATAGTTAGCATTTTACTAAAACACCACTTATAATTTGCAATGGATTTAATCAATCTTTCATTAGATGACAGTGTTGACCTTAATGTTCATTTAAATAAATTTAATCAAAAGAAAAATAAAAATATCATTTTCGCCCTTAATAAGACATAGGCAACCACTCTATTAACTATATTTGGTCAATTTTGTTTTTTGTACAAAAAAATGTTAAGGGTATTTTTGGAATAAAAAAATATGGGCCTAATGGCAAAACAAACACTCTTTAATGAAAGGTTGATTAAGTAAATAAGTTGTAAAATATTTGGAATGTTTGAGTAAAATAAAAACTATAAGGTAGATTTAAGTAAATATGCAAAACTATAAGGTGTGCTTTAGTAAATGCCCCTAAGGCTGTGCTTGGAATTAGCGTAAAATGTCATCAGTGTAAAAATACATTGATGATGTTTTACACTAAACCAAAAAGTGATTGTTGCTTTTTTGAAAATAGTGATGGGTGGAAGAGTTTAAAGTTTTACATCAATAAAATCGATGTAGTTTTTACATCGATTATCGATGTAAAACTTTATAGGTGATGAGGTTTTACATCTATTATTGACGTAAAACTACACTCCATCCAAACACACGCAAAATTGAATTGGAGTGTAGTTTTAGGTCGATAATAATTACACCCTCTTTGCAAACCCATATAAAACCGAACCAATGTAAATTTTACATCGGTTCTTGATTCACATTGCATCCAAGTGCACAACCTAATAGAAACACATAAGAGTATACAATTGTTTTATATTTTCAACTTTTTAAATAATTAATAATTATTCATATTTTATATACTACTTTTAATAAAATTTTTTATAATACAAAAATAACAATAATTGATTTCAATTAGGTTTATTCATTAAACTGATGAAACCGACCAACCTGATCAAATCGACCTGAGTTGGTTGGCTTTCTATTATTTTAGGTCAGCTTTGGTTAAAAAATTTCCCAATTCGACCAAGTTGGATCAAGTTCACTTTGGCCATTTGTAAATCAACCAAAATCGAACGACCTAACCATGGATATATATTAATATATATGTTTTAAATATAATTTTTAATATGAAAAATTGGGAAATTTCCCATTTATTAGTCTAAAATGTTTTATATCATAAATCTTATTTTTTATTTATTTTTAATAATTACACTATTATTTTTAAAATTTAATTTAATTTTTAAGTTTAAATCTTTTGAACCAACTGACCAAACCAAAAAATTGACCCAAACCG